GGTCTGATTCGGGTAAAAGCCCTTTTAAATATGTTAACGAAACAGTTGAACAAGTTGGGGAGGTGGGAGAATATTTGTACCTCGCTGATCGGTCGGGCTTTGGCCCTCAACACTACAGTTTTTCCCATGATGTTGTACATCGCGGCGGTATGGACAATTCCGGATGAGTCACTAAAGGAACCAAACCGAGTAGCGAGAACGTACCTTTGGACGGGCAACCCTAACAAGGGAAGCCGCATCCCTAAAATAGCTTGGCAATATATTACAAGGGAACCAGTACAAGGGGGGCTGGGAAGCATTGACCCAAGGTTCGAGACAAAAGCCCTTCAAGCAAAATGGATAGTCCGGCTGCTGACCAAACCAGGAACGGCATGGAACAATCTTGCCCTGGACAGCGTAAGGGCTCTGGCTCCGGTGCCATCGCCAAGCAACATGACGGGTTTATTCTGGGTAATGAACAAGGAATGGGCATTGAAAAAGGTGAGAAGAAGATCCAGAGGAGAAATAGAGCAGAACATAGACAACCGTCAAACACCATATTGGGCGGCTCTCATCCGGATTTGGAGGGCAATAATGCCAAAAAAGACCAACAGACCCAAATCAAAGGATGAGGTGTTGAGGCAGCCGTTATTTGGCAACGAGTGGTTGAGGAGCGAAAATGATGAACCCTTGTTCTTAGACCACAAATGGCTATCTTGGGTGAAGAATGGGGTTTGGACAATTGGACACTTGTGGAACGACGAAAAGAAAGTACATGGTTAAAGGGCTGCCACAAAAGAGGTCCTAACTTGCAATACATTACCAATCTGGTCCCCCATGAGTGGAGAGATATGTTGAAATAGGGCGGGGACTAATGGTGAATGGGGGGTTAAAATTCAAGAGAATAATCCCTCTAGGGTGTTTCAATTCTCACATTTACGGCAAGGTTCTGCCACTCGTGCGGTGTTCACTTCCTTCCCGATTATACACTCTACGAAGGGTATGCCGTCGATTATGAATGTCAACATGGAAACCACAGTCATGGAATACTTCCTGCTCAGAAAAGTAAGAGTGTTGGGCACATGGCCGAAGTTCATTTTCAGAATTGATACGGCAATTCAAAGCTTGGAGTTCGACCCGGGGGAGTGGGCGTGGAAACCAGATAAGGAGATAAACGTTAAGAGGCTCACCCTCATACAAAACTACACGGTCAAACTAGGGTACAAACTTCTGTTAAAAACAAAAGACCCAGAACCGGTGATCAAGACAAGATGACCGAAGCTGCTAGGACAAGAAGCGGACAAAATCACGAAGATCCCGTGGAAAGCATATTAAATGATCAGACCAGTCAAAATCAGAAACCTTCAATGGCTGATAATTTACGCAGCACTACCAGTCAATCAATGGCTCCACGTTAGGAAGGATTCCGTACCGGACAGTTCTGATCAATGTAAGGTGTGCACGGAGAATGCAGTAGAGAACATAGTACACTGCCTAATATACTGTAGGGAGGCGACGGACTACTGGGCGAGAGCCTCGACCCTCTGGGACTCCCTCTTCACTACCCCGTTCCCTGAACACCCCATCCAACTTCTCCTTCTGATTAACATCCCTGAACTGCCACGGACAGCGGAAAGGATTTGGTATGGACTCATCAGGAAGGTGACCCTTTGGGTCATATGGAAGGAAAGATGCAGCAGAACGATTGAAGGTGTCTCCAACGCTCGAGGGATGATCTGGACGGAGACAAAGGTAATGATACAGGCAGAGATTCTGCGCAGACAGCGGAAGATCAAGTTATCTTGGTCGGAGGATGAAGAGCAGCAAAAGAAGGCTAGAAGGAACTTCAGCAGGAATTGGCTGATAAGTGGGAAAGTTGCTGAGTTGCGGGACGACCGCATCTGTTGGAAGGAATGGCACAACTCCAGTTCAGGAAGAAACGTTGGACAGCAAAGCACAGCGCACGGGCAAGACACCCCCGAACAAGAACTTTAATGGAAAAGCGTCGGTCTCTGATCACCATAACTGGGGGATGCAGTCGGGGTATGGAAACACGCAAAGGGATGATGAAAGCAAGGGAGCCCTTTAAAGAAGAAAAAAAAAAAAAAAAAAAAAGAATTCCCTTGGTTCACAACCATCAGGAAGAGGTACAACAGAGAAGGTTTATCACGATGAAAAATGCGGGAGGGTTTAGGGTTTTAGGGTTTTAGGGTCTTAATCATCGGTCAACAGCTCAGGAACCTCAGGGTTTAAGTTTTTGGTCAGTTCGAAATAATATAAAATAGCGGACTTTGGCAGAACGTAATTGCTTAAGATGGGTGGAGCTCGAGCTGGACGGCACCAAAGAAAACAGGGTGGATGGCGATTGATAGATATTGAGGAGGTGTAGGAAAAGGGAATTGACTTATATACATGTTCAGAAAAAGTGTCTGTTTAGGGCATGATGTGGGACAGAGGGGTGGTTCAAGGGACTAGGCCCTTGATGTAGGGCTGAGGTTTTAGGACTGAGGTTTTGGACAGGAATAAGACAAGCATAGGATAGAATGTCAAGGAGATCACGACACTGGACGGCGGGACTAGGAGTTCAGACAGTATTGACAACAGTGACAGCCGCTCAAACCCTTCTTGTTGAGCAAGGCTTATCTGACAGGATCTTATAGTAGTCCTGAGAGGAAAGGTGTGAGCAGGGCAAGCTGACAGTCAATCCTCCACTTCGATGGAGTAATCAATGCTGATCTGGGTTCCTTCGGCCAGACGGAAGGAAGCGTGAGGGTGTGTTTTTATGTATTATTATATTCTGACTTGCCGGTGGAATAGGAACCGGACTGATGCTCCCCAGAATGGAAACGGAGCCAGGGCCATAAGGACCTGTTTTATTGAAAAAAAAAAAAAAGAAAGACAGCTTGGAACTTTTTCTTCTCACTAGTACTGAGTCAGTTCGACCATTGGATTTGAAGAAGAGGGGTGGGTATCAGCAGGGCCACTTCTTGCAAAATAGGTTCATGGTATCAGCAGAGCTTTACATACGGTGAAAAATGTCCATCTACGAGCTCGTAGTCTCCGAGGTAATACTGCTTGATAGGTTTTCCTTCCCAGATCTGAAGAGGGGTTGGGCAAACAAAGCAGCAGTGAACACGAAAACAGCCCACCAAAAAAAAGAAGAGAGGAGTCAAAAATCACATCCCCTTCTTGCCGTTTCTTTCTTTCTTTCTTTCTTTCTTTCTTTCTTTCTTTCCTTGGATGATTCGAATAAGTCGTGTCCAGCTCGTTGCAGAGTTGATTACCCAAATCACCGATTTAAATATTTTGTCAAAATCAATGTGGCAGAGGAACTTCCAAAGCTCCTTTTCTTTGTATTGTTTCCTCAAGAACCTCTGAGTAACACCCTGGCGCTTTTTTTTTTTTTTACCTTTTTTTTCACTTTCATGAATTTGATTCGCAAGAATGCACCAACGCCCTGGGGGTCTCTTAGCACAGATAATTGAGAAGGGATCAGGCCCATATTTCAACAGTTTCAACGGTTCATGGGTGTGCCAACTCAACTAGCCACACTGGCTTTCCAGACATGCATTTTTTTTCTCTGGGCAGCGTCGTCGGGTTTTCCCATAGGCAGGTGGAGCAGAGTCGAGCTGCGTGCAAACGGGCGTGGGGAAGTGCAGCCTCTCGAAAACACAATTAATTTTTATTTTTATTTTACGAAAAAAAAAAATATGTTCGTGAGTTGTTCGACGCGTCGAATCCCGCCATTTGAAAGCCGCCACTTTGGCAATTTTTCGTGCTCAGAAGGGTTCGTAGATTTGAACTTGAAAGAATTTTTGAAGAAAATCACGGAAAGATTTCTAGATAAAACAACAACAGATAAGGCTTTCGACGAACTTACCACCATAAGGCAACGCCGCTGGACTGTGTGTGTGTGTGTGTGTGTGTGTGTGTGTGTGTGTGTGTGTGTGTGAGAGAGAGAGAGAGAGAGAGAGAGAGAGAGAGAGAGAGAGAGAG